CTATATTTTCCGCATTTTATAACATTTTGCAACGAAACTTTGGAATATTACTAATTTTGTGATGCTCTTTCAAGCTGTGATGAAATTTTTGTCTAGACTTGTTTAGTTCAAAATTTAGTCTATTACGCAAATGGTCAATTCTTCCGGGACCGGTTGTTCAAAGGTGGGTTAGCGCTAACCCTGGGTTAAAATTTAACCTGCTGTTTTAGTTTGTGTACTTCTACGTACACATCTGTGTATTTCAAAACTTCAGAGAAGTAAACTCTGAATCGATCCAGATAAGATCTCTGAATAAATATTTCCAAATTTATAGAAAAGCTGTCAGAAAGTTTGCTTCGAATTTTAGGTTAACCAAGGGTTAAACTAACCCAGCTTTGAACAACCAATCCCTGATCGTCAGATTTAGAAATTGTACATAAATGTTTGCACGAAATTTCCATCTAGAAAACCCCATCAACAAAAAACATCAACATCCAATAAATTTATTTCCTTTTCTATTTAGTAATGTATGTTTGCCTGAAAGAAAGCCTGTGGCTTTTCGCCTGGGAGATAGCAGTTCCATATCTTCAGGTAAGGTTAGCAGCTTCCTTGGCGCACATACCTGTAGATTGTATTTTTGTGGAGGTAGCCAATCTTCAAATGGAGCTAGGCTATGCCACATTCTCGTACCCAGAGCCCATCTTACAAGCGGTCAACAGAGCATGACGAGGGTCGAGGGATACGAGAATGGGTTGCGTCGCAACTGTAGATCAAAATTTAGCCTCTGAACGAGAACAAAATGCCAAGTACATACCTAGCTTTTTCATGATTTTTGGAGTTATACCTAGCTCGAAATGATAGCCAGTAACTCCACAATTTATATTTCAACTCAATTAGTTTTTACTTACACAAGTTACTCAAGTGTATATTTTGGTTTGGAGTTGGCCCTTTAGACTTGGGAGGTAGCGTCGCTCGATTGCTTCCTACTTTCCGCAGCCATGTTGGCGCAATCGTCAGTGCGAGCGCCTTTTCACCTCTGAGATCGATTTTCGTTTCGGACTCCATTTTCCTCCCACAGAAAAATTGTTGACAGGTTTGGTGGGGATTAGCCCCTAACTTACCCTTCCACCATGGGTCATAACTCATAATGTGGCTGCCAGAGGTGCCTTAGAAAGCCTTCGACTGGATCAGTTTGAGCTCCGTCCTTCGCTATAGGGGGATTCAAGGTTTCCGACGCCATCTTGAATCTATTGTTTTCACCATTGTTTTTGCACCCGCCGCAAATTTATTCTATTTTGTCAGATTAAGTATTTACATTTTCTGTTCTTGTTCCAGACGACATATCTGATGCATTTTTTGAAGTCACAGTCAATGATTTGCGGCTTATGTTGAAGGGTCTTAAAAATGAAAGGTATTTCGTATGAATGAAATGAAATTTTGGTTCATTTGGGTAGAAAAACTGTAGTATGTTGTACACTTTGTCAATATCTGTCTTTGTTTCGAAATGATTTGTTATCTACACGCGTAAAAATTGAGAAAATCAACAACTTGTTCCAGACTGATTGATAAAGGCGTGAACAAGGTTGTGCGGCCCACTATGAACAGTATATTGTCAACATGTTGTTACAGCATTGTTCAACTGTAACAACTTGGAACAACATGGTTGACAAATGGTTCATAGTTGGCCGCACAACATTGTTCACGCCTGTCGATATCAACTTGGAACAACCTGTGCGTTTTTAGCCGTGTATTATGTCACAAGTATAGAAGTCCAGCAGCCCACAAAATGATTCTGAATTCACCGAAAACTTCAAATAACAAGAAACTTTCTAACTCACAGAAAACTTTTAACTCAGAAAATATTTTCAAGTCGCAAAAAAACTTTTGTAACTCACCGAAAAAATCCTTTTATAAACGTAACGTTTTTTTGCAAATATACAAAAATAAAGAGTTCAAACGCAACTTAACGTGAGCCTCCTGGGCTTCTATACAGAAGTAGAATAACCGATTTTGTAGTTTTGAATGATCACAATAAGTCGATTCATAGTCTCGACTGCGCATCCAAATGATCAACTACTCGGTATATGTTCAACTGCAATTTCCGACGTTCTGAATTGGCTTGTTTCGACGTGAAAGCTAATTCCACTGCTCATGTCGTATTTACATTATATGTAATATTTCAAATCCGAGTATGAGGACTGGAATAGGTTTCAAGTCCGCGCAATTTGATGGTTGAAATCTAATCCAGTCCGAATTGGAGGATTTGAAATGACATCTCATACGAATAAATCACTATTTAAAGTGAGGTGAATTAATTATGATCCAGTCCTAGGACTGGATCAATATACTTCACCAGGTATCCAGTGTTATCATGTGAACAAAATAAAGCAATATGGTTGGCTAATTTACGCATGAATTATTAATGAGTTTGAGATTGACTTATCAAGGACTGCAGAGAAGCCGCTGATGACGACAAAAATGAGAGAGGAACGTGAGAAAAGCAAAATGGACCAGTACGAGAGGGTAATATAGATTATAGACAATATGTGAATTGCTCAACCACCTTAGAATGCCTTCGATTCGATCAGGTTGAGCTGCGTCCTTCGTAATTCAGCTCAGCTCCCAGCTGCAAGTAAAGGCTGCTCTCCAGCGTTTTTCATACGTGCGTATACGCACGTAAAAGTTTAAATCTTTTTAAATTTTACTTATGAAATAACTAATTGAATAAAAGGAAATAATTTAGTTTTCTGTGTGATTTAATATGCATTTGCTGAGGTAATTAGTACTTGTATAAAATTTAGAAAGATTTAAACTTTTATGTGAGTACACGCACGTATGAAAAACGCTTAACTGGAGCGGCAGCCTTAAGGCTGCATTGCAGTTACGCGTTTTTCATACGTGCGTACACGCACGTAAAAGTTGAATTCGCTTTACATCCTACTTATGAAATAACTAAATTTATAAAAGGACAGCATTCAGTTTTGTGTATGATTGAATGTGTATTTGTTAAGGTTATTTACACTTATATGTAATTTTAAGCGAATTCAACTTTTACGTGCGTGTACGCACGTATGAAAAACGCGTAACTGGAATGCAGCCTTTAAGGGTGATTTAATAGCACACCCACCGCCAGTGAGCTATATATATATATATATATATATATATATATATATATATATATATATATATATATATATATATATATATATATATATATATATATATATAGTTTTTCGTTTTACCTCAAAAAACCACAACAGTCTGTTTCATCTGTATAGGAATCATCAGGTGGTGAATAATTTCGAAATTGTAGGTTGCTTTTATGCTGTCGAAAGAATGTGCGGAATGCGTGTAGGCGAAACAATGCTTAGGTGAAACAATGCATGCTTGGGTCATTAGGTTTTGTTAACGACCTTGTTTACTCGAAACTTGTTTCATCCCCCAACATTTTCATTTTCGCGGACAAAACTAGAAACATTTACGAAACGTCACTGAACACATACAACGAACTCTTACATGATAACATCACGAAAACGTACAAACATGGATCAGAGGACTTCATACATGAAATTGACTCCGAATTGAAAGAAATTTCGAGTAAGTTAGGAATTGGCGACAGAATTGAACGAATGAAAAAACGCGAAGCATTTATATCTTTAAAAGATCACAAAGAAAATTTCGAAAACAATCCAAAATGCCGACTAATTAATCCCGCAAAAAGGAATCCGGAAAACTAAGTAAGGTTATTTTAGATAAAATTAATTCCAATTTGAGACAAAAACTAAATTCAAATCAATGGAGAAATACGCAACAAGTAATTTCATGGTTTGGCAATATAAACGATAAAGACAGGCACAGTTTTATTTCATTTGATATTGTGGATTTTTACCCATCTATTTCCGAAAAACTTTTAAATGAAGCATTGGTCTGGGCTTCGGATTTGACTACTATTACCGAAAACGATATTTCAATAATAAAACATGCAAGAAAATCTCTACTTTTCGGCAACGGCAAATTATGGACAAAAAAAGACGGAAGCAACAGTTTATTTGACGTCACTATGGGTAGTTTCGACGGCGCTGAAATTTGTGAGCGGGTAGGCCTTTTCATTTTAAATCACTTAGGTAAGAGGTTTGGCAAGGAAAACATCGGACTTTATAGAGATGATGGTTTGGCTATTATAAAAAGCAAATCCGCCCGTTTACTAGACAAAACTAGAAAAGAGCTACACAAAATTTTCGAGCAATTAGACCTTAAAATCACCGCCGAAATAAATATGAACGTTGTAAATTTTTTAGATGTTACTTTCGACCTGATCAACGCAAAACACAAACCATACAGGAAACCCAATGACGATCCATTGTACATCCACAGACACTCAAACCATCCACCAAGCATTACAAGACAATTACCTACAGCCATCAACAAACGCATTGCACTTCTCTCATCGGACGAACAAACATTTAAGGAATCCACACCTATTTACCAGAACGCTCTTACACATAGTAACTTTGATCATGAATTTACGCACACTGAGAATGCACCGCAACGGACACGTAGGAATAGGCAACGCAACATAATTTGGTTCAACCCACCATTTAGTAAGAGTGTTAACACGAACATAGGACGGGAATTCTTAAGTTTAATTGACAAACACTTCCCGCTACAGCACAAACTACACAAGATTTTTAACAGAAACACTTTAAAAGTAAGCTACAGTTGCATGAACAACGTTAAGTCTATAATCAACAAACACAACGCACATATAATTAGGAACAGTCAATCACAGAATACGGAAACTGACAACTGTAACTGCGACAACAAAAACACTTGCCCACTACCGAAACAATGCATGACCAACATCATTATTTACAAAGCAACAGTCACAACGAACAACACGAACGACACTAAACACTACATTGGTATGACAGCGACTACATTTAAGGAACGTTACGCTAACCACACTTCATCTTTTCGTCATAAAAAAGACTCAAACAAAACGGAACTTTCGAAACATATTTGAGTGTGGAAATTAAAAGAAAACAATCAGGATTATACCATCAAATGGTCAATTTTAAAACACGCTATTTCGTACACAGGGGGATCAAAACGCTGCAATTTATGTTTGGAAGAAAATTTTGCATTTTGAAAGACATAAACAAAGACAATTTACTCAATGAAAGAAGCGAAATTTTCGGCAAATGTCGTCACAAAAACCGGTTTCGAGTAAACAAGGTCGTTAACAAAACCTAATGACCCAAGCATGCATTGTTTCACCTAAGCATTGTTTCGCCTACACGCATTCCGCACATTCTTTCGACAGCATAAAAGCAACCTACAATTTCGAAATTATTCACCACCTGATGATTCCTATACGGATGAAACAGACTGTTGTGGTTTTTTGAGGTAAAACGAAAAACTATATTACGCTCTATCTATATGGTATTGAGCACTGTTTGTGTTTCGTAAACCGAAATCTTAAGCTATATATATATTCAATAAAGGTTGTCCTTTGCAAACCTTAAACCTTAAAACCTTAAACTCTAAGTGCGCAAAGCATGATGGGAGCACTGATTTCAAGCTTAATTGTTGATTATTGAAGCTGTTTGTCAGTGAAATGTTTTTGCAGGGAGATTTTTATCATGTCTCCAAAAAATGGGCTCCATATATGCTTTTTAAACTGCTTAAATTTGGCTCCCATTATGCTTTGCACGCTTAGAGTTTAAGGTTTAAGGTTTTAGAGTTTAAGGTTTCAAAGGACAACCTTTATTGAATTATTGTGATGTGCAACCACTGCCATGGGATTCAAAGGAAAAAGAGATTTTCGCCATGTTGGATGATATTCGCATTGCAAACAAGCAAAATCCTTTGTCAGTGTCATCCAACATGGCGACGGTGACGTAACTTGCACACCACCTATTGTTTTTTCCAACGGTCAGCACAGCTGCAAGGAGTGTGTAGAATTTTGTATTTTGACCTCGATTTAAAGAACTGTTCTATGATTTTATGAACTGTCGACTTCTTTAGCGACATGATCCGTTAGAGAAAACTGGAGTTAGCTGGAGGAAAATGGTATTAAAAATGTTTACAACCTTTGTAGACTTTGGACTTACAATTTCCCCCATGGCTTCACTTTTCTCATGGGTAGAATAACCGAAGTTCTATTGCTCAATGACCCCCACGTACTTACTGCTCTTATGGGTACCGTGCCATTAAAATGTTTGTCTTTTTCTGTCAGGTGGCAATCCGAGTGTATTTTCCTGATCGAACAGTACTTCAAGGATTTTTCTCACCCAAGGAAACTGGTAAGCATATGTATTGAACTAAAGAAAGTCTGACCAAATCTAATATGGGAAATACGTTATTCATGCTAGTAACACATGTCGTGTCTTTCAGTTTCAGCAGTTACCTCGTTCGTCAATGAAAACCTTGAGCAAAAAAACACAGACTTTTATTTATGTAAGTGAAGGTATACATGTGGTTAATTCAATCTTTGAATAGCATTGGGCATGCGGGTCTTGAGCAGACTGCTCCATTTCCTGTTCAGAGTACTCCGGATTTTCGAAGCAATAGTAAATAGAACCGAAAACTGTTATATGACTTACCTTAGGTGAGTAAGGGCAGCCAGAACAGTCATGTGACCGTTTTCGGTTCTATTATATTAGTGTTCCGAGAATCCAGAGTACGCCGAACAGTAAATGGAGCTACCAAATGGAGCTACCAACACCAAGCAAACAAAAACTAGTCGTCTGGGGACGAGAATGGATCGTGAAATCAAACTCTCCCCCCAGAAAGTTTTTCCACCTCACCTTGAAAAATTTGCAACCCCCCCCCCCCGAAATTTAAATGCTCATTGGATTAAATGACAGTAGTGGGATTTAAACAAGGGTTTTGAATAAGACCAAGGATTTTAAATAAGACGAACATTCTCAAATTTTCCTGGGGGCTTCGCCTCCTTACCCCCATTAGCAACTTTGCCCCCAGACCCCTGCTCCAGCATGTTTAACGGTGCTACGCGCCCCGTCGCTCACTTCCATCCCCCCCCCCCCTAAATTTTCGGCAGCCCCCTGAGCAAAATCTGAAATCAATGCAGTCTAACTGGTGTACAAACCAAGCATTGACCATCTTGACATTTGAATTTGGAGGTAGCCCGTTGCAGCCATGGGTATAGCTTTCAATTATAATTTTCTGATAGCGTTTCAGTTATCTTTAGTTCTTCGGACAGAATTGCTGAAAAAAACGACTAACTTTTTTCATTTTTTAGACACCACTCCTCCAAGGATCATACTCGATAAACCAAACATAACTTTATTCGAAGTAAGTAATATTGCAAAGAAGGGAATGACTATAGAATAGTGTTGAAGGATTTTGTGGATGAAATTTATTCGAGTGTTGCACTTATTTAGACAGCCCTGTCTGTCAGCCCTGGTTAGATCTAAATAAATGTATAAAATTTGCACTCCAATGGTGATTCTAGCTTGCTATAGACTAAATTTTGATCTAGGCAAGAAGAACAAACTTCATCAGGACAGCTAGAAAGAGCATGTTAAAATTAGTAAAATTGCAAAGTTTGGTTGCGAAATGTTGTATAAAATGAGGAAAATATAGCCCTACGAAATTTGCAAGTTTTGTTGTAATTTGTATTACGTGGTATTATTACAAGGTGGTGCATTTTCTCGTGCGTAATACAAATTTAAATTACAAAATTTGCAAATTTCGCAGGGCCATATTTTTCGCAATTTACAACATTTCGCAACCAAACTTTGCAATTTTACTAATCTTAACATGCTCTTTCTAGCTGTGGTGATTTTGTTCTTCTTGCCTTGATCAAAATTGAGTCTATAGCAGGAATCATCCATTGTGTGCGAGCCCATCTGGTTTATTCCACTAACCATCATCCATTTTTGTTGTATCTTCAAAGGCAAAACTTTTTCCTGCTGCTATTATACATTTTGGCAGTCGGGACACGCAAGGTAAATACGACCATTAGAAGATAGATTGGCGAGATGTATTGAATGTAAACGTGAAACAAAATACTTTGCTTGACCGCGCTGGGAATCGAACCCTTTAGTTTGTTAGTCCAATGCTCTACCAACTGAGCTACGAGGTCAAGTCGGTTCACTCGAACCCGACTGTGGACACACTCAGAGCAACATCACAAACATATTCCACATCTTTTTAGGAAGTTATTTGCATTCACGGCATCTACAAGGGATGGCTGATTTCACTTCAGCTAATGAGATGGTGGACACATATAACAGGTATGGAAATACGGTTTTAATTCGGGTTCTATGTCATAAATTGCGTTACAAGTTGCAGCAATTAGCCTTTCTCACAAAGGCCAAAATCCGCTATTTGGAGGTACTATCTGCCCTCGTGAAAGATTGTAGATAATTCAAACAACGTGAAAAGCGACTTTTAAGAGTTGTAACTGTAAATTTACCATTATACAACTCTCAAACGGCAATTGATAAAACTAGAATAGTGAAGCGAATAGTGCGAATAGTCGACGAATAGTACGAATAGTCCGCGAGTAGTCGACGAATAGTGCGAATAGTCCGCGAATAGTCGACGAATAGTCGAAGAATAGTGCAATAGAGACTTTGAATATGCATGGTAGAAGTGTGTACTTAATACATTCGTCACTATTTAAGCATCTAAAACAGTTATTGAAGTCAAAAGGCACTGCCAATATAAACGGTATAAATAGGGAAAAACATTGTAATATAGAAACACTTAATAAATTTAATACTTTAATCGTTCCCCTCGTTTCTCACTGATCATTGCAACACGCTTGTTCATCGATATAATAATTCAGTTCATAAAACTTTTTGACAAATTCATCGTCGTGCTTTTAACTCATTCGGAAAATTGTTCAAACTTTTCTGACGTGATCTGCTTGTCAATGGCATCTTGTCCTAACTGTTTTGATACTCAAGCGGGACGCGTTCAATTTATGAACTATTTACGGTCATTTATGACGTCACGATGACGTCATTGTGACGTCACAATTTTACACACTGTAGGTAAAATCGTTAGGCACACATGAAACACATAGTCACAGCAAGCAAAGGCTGTTATGCTTCTTATTTACGGCAAAGCGAAATAACCGTATTAAAATTATCATTACTCGACACTACATAGACAATCGCGTGCAAAAATAATGAGACTCTTCACATTTTGGTGATCTTTTTCACGTGCGTGCCCCCCTCCCCCCATTAACAATGTTGAAAACATATTATTTGATAAGCCCTGACCTCCAAATCGTTTTAACAACATTGCACAAGGGGGGGGGGCAAGAAGCATTGTTACAGCAAGGAGAGGGCCAATAAACTGCTTGTCTCAAGAATTTTTGCACGCGATTGTCTTAGCAGAGGCCTCATTGTGTTCACAAACTTAATTAAATTTCTGCCAAAAATTGAACTTAACGCAGTCTCGGGCAAAATTTTCATTTTTCGCGCTTTAAGCCCAGTGATCTAGTTTTCGTGCGAAACTCGCACAAAAATGGAG